GGGAGTGACGGCCTCGCACCTTTCGGAAACGGGGCGGGAGGGGGAAAGGCCCTCACGTCGGTGGGATTCAGGAGATTGATAACAAAAAGGGCAGAGAACAAATTTTTTTTTTTTTTTCTTGGCTGTGAAGTTGGCCCAGCTTTGAGCGGGGCGGGGAGGGTCGGGCTGGGGGGCTGCCGGCACCTTGCCCGACCTGCACCGCTGTCCCCTGGTCGCTGGAGCTGCTCAGCCTGAGGTGTTTTAGGCATCGCTGTGGCCTAAGGGTGCGTATGGAGGGTGTCTCAGCGAGGTCGCGCATGAAGGGTCCCCGACTTGGGAAACAGCTTCATGATCCTTCACCTGAAGCCTTGTGGGGGTTTGTTTTTTTTTTTTTAATGATCAGCTCTCAGGTATTCACCGGAGAGCGGCTGGATGCGGCTGAGGTCTTTGGCTGCCATAAATGTTTCACCTGGGAGAGAAATGCCTTTAAGTGTGTGTGGGGGAACCCACCCCACCACACAACACCCCTTGGGATAGTTGGTCCTTCGGGCTGTGGAGCAGGGTCAGCGTGTTAGCGGGCATCAGCCGGAGGTGCCCGCTTTGTAGCTCAGGAGCTTGTTTCTGAGAGAGAACCATCCCTCGTCCGCCAGGCCGCAAGCCTGCCCGGGAGGGATGCTTCAGAAGAGGCAGCGGTGTGGGCAGAAAGGAGCGCAGGGGAGGTATGGCTGCGGGGGGAGATGAGTGAGGAGCGGTTAGGCTTTCAGAGACGAGAGGAGCCCTCTTCTTGGAAATGGCTCAGCTGGCTGGATTCGCTCGCTGTGTCTCTTACCCCTGTGCGGCTGAGCCCTCTCAGAGGAAGTGGGGGGCTGCTGGCTGGTTGCTTCTCGGGGTGAGGTGTTAGCATATTGCTTGGCTTTTTTTGTGGGATGTTAATTAGTTCTGTTAACACAGGTCTCTGCCTTCATGGAAGTGGTACTTCTGTTGTGCGTACTTTTCATTTGAAGTCAGTGGGGAGTGGAAACCTGTTTCTTTCGGTTTACTTTCTAGGTAGATGCGCTTGATCTTGATGTAGCAGCCTGGATTTCTTAACACAGTGCACTCCGAAACCAGATGTTGCGCAAATGTATACCCACTTAAATAGATGAATGACTATCAAATATACAGTAATGCTGCTGATCATTTATTATGTGGACCAATTCATATTTTCTTACCCACAATGGGTTTGTGTTTGCCATTTTTACAAAAATAAAATGGAGCAACAATACAGTACTTAGTTAATCATATCCTTTATGCTTCAGAAGAGTGACATTTAATTTCTGGGACTCATTATAATGTAGCTTAAAGCGACTTGTTTGTTTGACAGTGAAATAAATTAATGCCTATTTCAGCTTGTGGCATAGAAATGTTTTTCACTCCAGATCTGCATGAACTTGAAAAGACATCTTTGTCAAAACATAGCTCCTAGAAATGCACAGCTATACATTGATTAGTAGGCTAGAGAGTCATTGCAATCAAAACAACTAATCAAAGTATACTTTTTGAAAACCCTGTTTTTCCATTCTCCTTACACCCCACCCCCTCACCCCCCTTATTAAGGACTCTTTCTAGTAGGTTTATGTCAGTGCCTCACACATGCCTAACAAAGGGTAAAAAAGAGCTTTCTTACCATAATGACTATTTTTCTTCTGCTTCCTTGATTTAAAAAATTACATAGTCCGGGTGTAATTCTGCATTTGGCAGCTTAATTCTCTTGCCAGTTTCTTGTTCCTGTAGATTTGGAGTAATGCTGTTAGATGGAGTCCTTTGTAAACTTGAACTTCCGAAACATCTAAAAGAGACAATGTAGCTAGATGTAGACTTGACTGAAGTCATTGCCTGAAAAATTTCTAATGGAGAAATGGTCTTCTTTGCCATCATTGAAAAATAGAATAAGTGTACTTTTGAAGTAAGTACATAAGTTACAATAATAAGATACAGTAACCTGTATTTGTTCACCAATTTCTTACTGTGAAATAAGATAGATGGAAAAATGTAGTAGGTCCTGCAGAAGTTAAGTTTTGTTTAACTGTCTTGCAGATTGTTTTATTTATATGGGATATGATCCGACTTCTTTCCCTTGAAAAGATTGCTGTGAAATTTAGTTGTATTAAACTATCTCAACTTGTACTTTTCAGTACAAACTTCAGCTATCTAAATTTGTGCTATAATGACAAACTTAAGTATTGTGATGTATTTTGTTAAAATAATGAGAAGTTAACACCAGAAGCTGTGCATCAAAAGATAAAAGTCTACCTAAAAGGCTGAGTAAACTCTGACTCAGTTTTACCATAGACATTTTATCTGTATTTGCATAAAATAATTTGGGCTGGATCATGACACAATATGAGCTGAGACAATAGTTGGGGTTTTGGTTTTTCCTTAGTTTTGTTTATTTTGTGGCTTAAGCATTTGGAATTTAACAAGACAGATAACTAAGACTGACACTAGATTTTCACGGGTAAAAACACATGTTTGCGGCCAAGAAATAGTGCAGTGCAATGCAAATGATACAACGAGTTGGTATATCTAAAAAGAAAGACAAAGCTAAGATCTGAATGTTACCAATATTCTGGTAATAGCGTTCTGAAATGTAAAAACATTAAGATGTTCTGGCTCTTCTTTGTGGACCATCTTGTGCGATATACCGAATCCATGAAATTAAACACTAACAAAATGTATTGGTCTTAAGTGTTTATTTTGCTTATGCTTTGTGAGGAATATTTGCTCATGATCAATGAAAATGCCATGAAAATTTAGATACTTGAAGCAGCTGGAGATCACAACATAATACAGACTCATACACAGCACAAGGTGAGAGAGCGAAGTATTTTATTTAACTTTCACTGGTAAATGCTAAAGTATAGTCTCCAAAAGCTTTGTTTTTAAACTTTTCTTTCTGGCCCATTTCCTTAATATACTTAGATCATAAAAGAGTAGGAATTTGGACCAACACACACTGAACTGCAGGGCAGTGAAACAAGCTAGAAGTGCTCAATCCAAATGTGGGGGCTGGATGTCTAACTCCCATAGTTTAACCTGGAACTCCAAGCTTAACCATTTTTCCCATTAGAAAAAAAAAAAGTCAGTACAAATGTTAAGTAACCTACCACACTGAAGAATTCACACTTGGATAACTGGGGACCTGGAAGACAGATTTTTATTGTCATTTCATGCATCTGTGGAACTCTGACTTTAATGAAAGTATGTTTTTAAAAAATCGCCTTTCAGACTTTATCTAAAGTTTTGTGAAGGTGCTAGAGCAGTAGCTAACAGAAAACAGCTTGCTGGGGGTCATTAGCACTTTTTGGAAGCCTGGAAGAAGCCCTTCTTGGTGGTTAGGAAAGATGGTCGAATGCAAAGTGATATTTGATAGTCTGGAAGTTGGTTTAAGTTTGAAAATAAGTACAAGTATAAATGGTAAACATTTGTTGTAAGGAGTAAATACAGAATATGATGCTGTAACTTTGCATACTTGAGGACACATTTAATAGGTAAAGTTGGCTGGAATGTATTGTATCTTTTAAAGTCAAAATGAATAATCTTTTTAACATCAGAAAATTGGTTCTTAATTGTGTAAATTCATCTGGTCTCACCTACAATGCTGGAGTTCATTTTGGCTGCCCGGATTTAGGTGAAAGGAGTCCAGAGGTGCAGCTAAATGATTAGACATGCTGAAAATCAAGGGGCACCAAAAGATTTCATCTGATTCTGAGGTCAGACACGGTGGATGTATACATAACAGTAACATAGGAAAAATAAGCTAGACACTCCTCTATTTAAATAGGTAAATTCCTCTGGGGTATTTAGCTTACTTAATGTGTTATAAAGCTTTTACCAGTATTTTTGGTTGCATCTTGATGTTTCTTCCAGGTATTAAATATTTAGGACTTCATGCTGAAGGTCTCTGTCTATTCAAAGGCTCACCTGCTGTGCCTTGCACATTAGCAAGCTGATTACTGTAGACCATTCTGATATTTCATCTGGCTCTTTAGAAGTTTGTCTCAAAACACTCAAACTTGACAGTTTTTCGGTGCATCCCTTCTTGCCCACCGTTTTGGTCTCAGTGCTCGGTAATATCTGCTTACAGCTGTGGCAGTTCAGTACACGGTCTTTATAAAGATGTTAGATGCGTGATTTCTGAGAATGCCTTTTCAGACAAGTGAGCAAATTTCCATGGTTAAATGTGGTAAAGACTAGGTATTCTTTGAAAAGGGTAAGGGCAATCAGGCAGGTTAGCTAGTCCCAAGAACAGAGCTTCACCTTATCAAACACGAAATCTCTAGAGACTTTCAGTTTGTCAGGATGGGCTGCACAGCTTTAAGCTGCTGAAGCTATCAGTTACAGTGTTTCCATTAAGCCTTCAATCTTTTAACTGTGGGTGCAGAGATGTTGGTTTTCTGTCTAAAGCCTTTAGCAGATAAATTGTAATCCGAGTAAGTGCTTCTGTACAATCTGCTGCTGCTGTTCTAGCACAGTGTTGTGTGACACATTTGATTGATTGCTGGTGGGTGATAGCTGTAAGTCTACACTATGCGTGGTTTGTCATGCTGGACACTCAGGCCTTGACAAATGTCATGGTCTTTGTGTTGTGAAGCCTAGTTTTCTTGTATACTTTTCAGAAGATGTGTTTAAATAAATCCAAAACTGGTGTAATAGTCTCTCGCTAGTAGAATTACTGATAAAAATTAGTATCTACTGGAAGTTATTTGCTGTGGCTTTCTATCTTCTATCCTGTGGGGTGTGTGGAGGCAGGGAGAGACATCCAGGTCCTGTTTTGGATCCCAATTTCCCCAGGTCTCTAACAATCCCAATGTAAGAGGCTACATCTGGAATAATAGGTCCTGGTTTGGGTCCCTCAGTACCAAAGACACATCAACAAACTGGAGAGAGTCCAGCAGAAGTGCACTGTGATAGGCAAGGACCGTTGTGTATCAGAAATGGAGAACTGGGTTCTTTGAACCTAAAGAAGAAGCTAAGGTGAGGGAAGCTAATCACCTAAAGATGGACCCAGGCTTTTCAGAAGTGCCCAGTGAAAACAAGAGGCACAGTCATAAATTGCAGCAAGAACTGTAGCTGAACATCAAACCCAGTGCTTTTAAACAATAAAAGTGGTTAAATTGTATAACAGTTTGCCCAGAGAGGTTGAAAGTTTCCATCAATGGAAATTCCACAAAGCTTGTCTAGACAAGGCCTTGATGAACCTTACCTAAGTTACAAGTTGGCCCTGCTTCAAGCAGAGGGCTGGACTACAGACCTCCAGAGGTACCTTCCAAGACAGGTCATTCTGTGTTAACTGACTTTTAGCAGCTGTTGGTTAACATTTTGCCCTTCATTTTTTTTTTTTTTTCTTTCCTTTTACAGTTGATTTTCTGCATTCTGGATGCTGGTGGAACATACTGGGAGAGATGCTTTTAGGGTGCAGTTTTACAGTCGTTAAAGCTAGTGCTGCCTTCCTGCTCTTTCATTCTTATGCCTGTCCCTGTACTGGCTCTGATGCTTGTCTGATACCTGAAGTGAGTTGGTGTCAGGGTGCTAATCTTTCAGGAAATTAGATCAGCAAAAATCCTCACAGGTTGCTGATTTAGAAGAAGAAATTGAGAACCAGGAATGAAATTTTGTGGTGAAGAAGGTGCTGGTTTAGGTAAGTTTAAACAGTTAATGGGGCTGCACTGCACTAGCTGACTTCACAAGTCATTAGTGTAGTTTTTAGTGCTTAATTCATAGAGCTGTAATGGCTGTACACAGATTTTTCTTTTGGATTCAGCTGTGTCAGGCCACCTCAGGAAGATGTTACTGCCTCTAAGCCATTCTGTAACTCATCTCGACCCCTCTGCTCAAAGCTGTGCCATCTTCTGATCTTCAGGTGAACCTTTTCTCACCTATTTTTTTCCAAATCTCTAGGCATAACTGAGACAGCTAAACCAGGTTACAGGGGCTGATGTTAGTGTGAGTGACTCAGGCAAACAGCTCTCATCTGGAGACTTCAGCGGAAGGATGGTGATGGGGGAGGCAGCATTTGGTGTTACCATCTGTGCAACAAATGTTTCTCTGCAGTGTGTGCCTGTTGGATGGGTGCCTGGCTGGTGTAGACTTAAATTTACCTCTGTAATCCTAACCTTGTGCTTTTAAGTTAACACGATTCTTTTTGGGGGTTAAGGAGTCAAATTTATGTTCATGTGAACAAATGATATAACGTATTTGATTCACTCTGCATGTTTTGTATTCTGCAAAACTTCCTTTTGATGATCTGTTTGGTTCAGTGCTATGTTAAAGGAAACTTAACAGTGGTCAGGCGCTATCCATAATGTCTTGGCATTCCCTCATCATGATTACAAATGATGTATTACCTTTTGTAATTCTCAGATAAAACTTTTCCCCCACCTTATGCAGAAAGGGAGAACTAAATGTTCTTTATTAGACCAGCTGATACAGATAGCAAACTTAGACAAGGTTTTGAGTCGACAAACCCTTCGTCAAGCCTGAAGTAAAAGAGGAATAAATAGCAGTTGAGAACAGTTGCTGAGAATCTTAAGCCATCTCTTAAACATAGTGGTTAATACCTCTTGAGTGTAAAGTATATGGAGTGTGGGGACAGAGGATGAAATGGTTTAAATAATGTTTATGCAATTAAACTCTGCCAAGGCACAATGCTAATCCTTGGAATATCCTTCTAATTTGTCTAACTGATAGAATTCAGGACTATTCTAAACTTACAGTTTGAAAGCATGTTTGATTTAATCACAAAGACTGATTGCTAAAAATGTCTTGCAGATATTCTAGATTTACCAGTCTTTGTCCCATTGTGGTACAGTCTTATCTTTTGGTCTTGCTGAATTAGTGCTGTCTTACTTGGTTCCAGGCAGCAATATCTCTCACCCACAAAATACTTTCAGTGATAACTGGCATCTGTTTTTCCGTTTCTCCTCTTGAAAATGATGTGCTAGATGTTGGACATACTTTCCCCACGTTCCTCCTCTTAGCATTTGTGTGTCATCTTGCAAAGTGTAGTTTTTAGGATAGGATGGCTGTTTATGTTGTCTGCTAAAATAATAGTGATTTTGTGCTGAGTGGTGAAAAAATGGAGTTCAGAATTATTGATTTTACTGTAAGAGTGGGATTTATCTTTAACTTTTGAAATTCAGATACCCAGTCTAAGCTAATGAATGAGGCAGCTCCAGAACATAATTCATTCTCCTATCTCTCATGCTTGTTGGATGAAATAAACCTCCATGTGGGGAACTTTTTCTCTTTTAATTGTTTACAATGAAAATTTAGATAATAAACTCAGCTAGGTGCCAGACTTCTAGATGGTTGAAAATTCTCCCTGACTTAAATGCTCTTTATGTTTCTTGGACAGACACTTAAAACTGTGGTTGTGCTTATATTTTTGTTTCAGATGGACCCTACTAGAATTTCAAAAGAACATGCACATTGTGTCAGAACACTTTTTGGACATCAAGAAAATACAGATTTGCATGACACATCCTTTGAAAATCAAGAAGTAAAGTTAATGCCAGAATCATGTAGAAGCATGAAACAGGGTCTCCAAAGAGCTGTGCAGAAGGTAAGTGGCAGACAGACTGTCTATTCCTTTATTTTGTGCTCCTGTTGAACTTACAACAATTTTTCCAACATCTGTATGCAGAGGTAAGTTCTAGAAAGTATTTTCTGGTGTTTAAGTAATACCTGAAGCTGCATCCAAGATCATATTGTGTTTGCTTACGAACCTGGTAGTGGTTAAACAGTTCAAACACTTTTTTTTTAAGAAAGGAAGACTTGAAGTTGCACTGAGAAAGCTATGATTGCAGTTAGTTGATTGGCCACTCTGACATTTCAATGGGCCTGAAAGGTAGTCATTTATCCTGATATTTGTATAAGTTTGCCAACACTTTGGATATTCATAAGAAAGGGCAGCTCCACACTTTTTTCAAAGCAATCTTCATAACTGTTTCTGACAATATTCTCCCAAGTCAAGATCAACAAGCAAAGTATTGCCTGAAAGACAGAGGAAATAACATTTTCTCTTGTTTCTTACTCTTTCTGCAACCCAAAATGAGGGATAGTACCTTCTTTTCCTTTTTTAGCTCACTTTGCCAGTCCTCTGTTCTGTGCAGACCCTTCCCACACTGACAGAAAAGCTACTTTGCCATAGCATGATAACCAGGAAGTCTTTGCCCAGCAGTTAAAAATGACAGCTTTTTCCCCAAACAGAAATAACAAAAGTAGTCAGCTAAAGAAGTAGGCCCTGATGAAGAAGCCTAGGCAAGCTGGATATTTGTCACAATCACCTCTTACTGCAGTTACTGCCTCTGATCTCTTTGCGTGTTCATGATAGTGTTTAGTGGTAATTATAGGCTATTTAAAAGCTGAATGTCTGCTATAGTATTTAGTTTTCCTGGCTTACCAGGTCTGTTACTACTTCTTCACATCTGCATAACATTGTCAGTTTTTCATAAAGGATACTACATTAGAATTGAGCTGAACTCATGTACACTTTACAGAGTGAATGGTACTTGAGTTAATTATATGGTACTAATTCTGCTAATGCTTGCTTTTAGTGGAGTACCCTGAGTGACAGGTCTTTTTGTGAACAAAACTTTAAGAAACCTAGTTCATGTCTTGTCCCATTTGCTAGCCACCTCCTTGAAAAGTTTAAGGGGAAAAAAAAAAAAGTCGAGTCTGTAGGATTAGTTGTATCTTCCAGCATTTTATAGACCGTCTCACACTACACCTAGTTCTATGTTCTTTGTGCTGGTACTAGACTACTCGTTCATGCAGCTCCCATGACGGAGTAAGGAGCTTGTTACAGTAAGTGAATGGGAAGTGCTGTATTCTGGTCATTTTGCTGCTGGTTACTCAACAAAGGCATTGGCTTTAGTTCAGGCTGCATATCCTGCCATTCTGGATGGAGGTTAAATGCTGCAATGTCCGCGGCCAAGATAAGTAGTGAGTAGGGATAACTTTTTTTGGCTGATGACCATTAGTTTGAAAACAATAAAATTTAACTTGCCAAAGTAATCAGACTCTGAATTTCCTTTGAATGCAACAGAATATGTCTAGCAGCTGGGTCAGTATTCTAGATGCTTTGTCATCATATATTGATTGCACAGAGAACAATAGGAAAATGCTTGCCTGGGCCTACATTTGCATATTTTTGGTATATCAGAGAAGTGAAAGCAACATTGTTAAGGCAAAATTATATTTTGTCATGTTCTGTAAGCTCTGCCTTTCATTGGCTCTGTTACAATGAAGGGCAGGGATGCAGCTGAATCTTACTTCCAGTTGTGCTAGTCCTTTATGTGTGGGAATATAGCTAATGTGACTTGAAATAGGTTTCCTATAATCCGTGCTTTCTTCACTTTCCTGAAGGAGAATCTTACCTGTGTGTGTTTTAAGGTCCAATATCCTTATTTGAATTGGCTACATGTTAAGTAACTGAAATGGAACACTTTAAAATACCGTTTAAAGTATTTGTGATTTTTTTCAATATTTTGTCTGTTGCAATTCAAACTGTTCAGGAAATGAAAATAGACAACTTGCTTTTGCTCAGGTTTATTGTCTGGTTACAGCTTTTAGCTTACTGCCCTGGTTCTCATCTGTTTTCTTTGCACACCTGTAGACCTAATGCTTAAATCTAAAGCAGGGACTGACATTGAAAATGAAAGTGCTTTTATGAAACCAGTGTAGTAGGGCTGCAAGGTTGGGTCTAGAAATATTTGTCTCCTGAAAAAATAATAATTATTTTTTTTTTAATCAAAATCTAATGGTGAATTCCTTAACATATTCCAGGATAAAAATACTACTTAGGGAGCAGCTTACTCAGTGAAAAGCACATTTTCAATGTTGCATATAAACCTTCAAGGAGACAAATGATACACTTTCCTACCCTGTGTGTTTGCTTAATTTTTTTTGCATGTAACCCTAAAAACCTTTTGGCAGTCCAGATGCACTAACCACAGTTCTTATGAAGTCTGTTATGAGCCTGAAGTAGAAAGGGCTGCAAACATACCTTGGGTCAATTCGTAAGTAATTTTTCTTGGCAATACTCCCAGCTTCTAGCAGCGTGGGGAGTTCAGGCGTAAACTAGCCTCCCACATGGCAACAGAGTACTTTGCTAGACTTCCAGGGCAGCACTTGTAAAGAGATCTATATACTTAGCAGACGTTTAAAGTGCCCATAGTTATGGACAAAGTCAAGGTTTCACGAGTGATTGCTGTAAGTTGTTAAAATTTCAGTTTCCATCTTACAACCTTACATGCCTTCTTTTTTTCTGCAGACAGCAGACTACTCATTTGGATAGAGGTTGTAGTGCTGATCTCTAAACTATCTTCTGATGAGTATTGGTTCATGTACTTTCTATTTCACTTCCTTCCTGATTGGCATTTTTCACATTGCTGAATTTCCGGCAAGATAATCAGATCCTTCCTCCTGGTATTAGCTGGACTTAAAGCACTCAGGTAGTAGAAGAAATAACTCCATAAAGGAGCTTTAAGCTCACAGCTGCAGCAATACGTGAATGTCCAGAGGGCCTCTTTTCTGATTGGTCTCAAAAGGCTACTTAAAGCTGCTCAAAGTAGATACTGAGATACTGTAAAAGCCAAAAAAGAGGAAAAACCATTCATAAATGCCACATTTTCAAATGCAGCCTTGTCTCTGCATCCTCAACACTGGTTGATTTTGTTTTGAAGATGCTGAGATGCTAACGGTTAAAACCTGCAGCCTGCAGTGGATGAGTAAAAAGCAGTTCCCAACTTTCCAGGCACTTGAAGTATGATTTTAGCTTTTAAAATGTGAAAGTTTTGCAGCTTCCCAATGGCCTTTTAATTTTTTTCCATGAAGTAGGACACATTTTTGTGACTGGCTGCTTGTCTGGTGTTCAAACAGGGACTGTATGAAGGAGGTTGGTCTGTGGGCAGCAGGCCAGCCGACTTGACTTGGTGGGCAGTGAGCAAACGATGCAGAGGTGTACAAGTGCAGCTTATCGTAAGACTAACAGAGTGGTGTGATTTTTGTGTACACTTTTTCTAAAAATAACTCAACAGCTTGGTAGCACGCATGGTTCTGTGGGTGGAAGTTGTAAGAGAAGTCAGTGGTAATATTATGTCAGCAGTTCTCATGCCATTATAGCAGTGTCTTAGTGACCGGTTCTGTTGAGCTGTTTCTACTTTCTTAATGGTAGCGTACATTGTGATTATGTATGAGATGCTTAAAGACATTTAGGTGCTAAAGAATGCAATTGATACTTTAAAGATTTGGAAAATCCTAGTACTTGCACCCTCAGCAGGTTTGCCGATGATACCAAGCTGTTTCGTGAGGTAGACACGCTGGAGGGGAGAGATGCCATCCAGAGGGACCTGGACAGGCTGGAGACGTGGACCTGTGCAAACCTCATGCAGTTCAACAAGGCCAAGTGCAAGGTCCTACATCTGGGTCGGGGCAATCCCAAGCACAAATACAGGCTCAGTGGGGTATGGCTGGAGAGCAGACCTGAGGAGAAGGACCTGGGTGTGTTGATTGATGAGAAGCTGAACATGAGCCAGCAATGTGTGATTGCAGCCCAGAAGGCCAACTGTATTCTTGGCTGCATCAGGAAAAAGTGTGGCCAGCAGGTCAAGGGAGGTGACTCTGCCCCTTTACTCCACTCTTGTGAGACCCCACCTGGAGTACTGCGTCCAGCTCTGGAGTCCTCAACATAAGAAGGACATGGACCTGCTGGAGCGTGTCCAGAGGAGAGCCACGAGGATGATCCGAGGGCTGGAGCACCTGTCCTATGAGGAGAGGCTGAGAGTGCTGGGGATGGGCAGCCTGGAGAAGAGAAGGCTCTGGGGAGATCTTACTGCAGCCTTCCAGTACCTAAAGGGGGCCTACAGGAGAGCTGGGGAAGGACTTTTTACTAGGGCATGTAGTGAGAGGACGAGGGGGAATGGCTATAAACTGGAAGAGGGCAGGTTTAGATTAAACATTAGGAAGAAGTTTTTCACTTTGAGGGTTGTAAGGCACTGGAACAGGTTGCCCAGAGAGGTTGTTGAGGCCCCATCCCTGGAGGTGTTGAAGGCCAGGCTGGACGTGGCCTTGGGCAACCTGGTCTAGTTGGAGGTGTCCCTGCCCGTGGCAGGGGGGTTGGAACTCGATGATCTTCGAGGTCCTTTCCAACCTAAACCATTCTATGATTCTATGATTAATTCCTTGCAGTAAGGATACCGGGGGATTTTTATAATCCCACTAGGAGGCTGTCTTTAGATATCTGGATATCTTCAGACATCCACTGAAAAATGTGGTCCTTGAGTCCTTGCTAAAATGCTTTTCTAAGGTAGGTTTTGTACCAGCACCTTGGAACTGTAGAAACTTCATGAAGTAAAAAGTGAAGGGAAATGTTGAACTACATATTCTTCAGGAGGAAACCCACAGCTCCGACCCTGTTTTCTAGGGACTAGTTCATGTGTTTCAGCTTCCTTTTGGAAACCCAGGCAACAGAACAGGAAGGAATGTCAAAATTTTGTGGGGCTGGTCAGAATCAAGTAAAGAACTTGACAGTAGTCCAGTGTTTGGAGAACTCTGCTGATGAAGGATTTCTGTTTTCTGGCCACAGACTAGCCACTTCTAATCCAATGACAAGCACACAGAAGAGTCAATGAACATGAGCCAATCTCCAGCTCTTTTCAGTGTGTTGGTGTTGGGCTTATAATCTCCCTTTTGTTGTAATGATGCTTGCATTCCTAATTGCACAGTAGCACAGCTTCAAGAGGAGTACAGGAGAGTGTTTCTGCCAGGGTGATGCTCCTAGGAAACAGGAAAGCAAGCTTAAGACCATTAGGACAAGGAGAGTTGTGGACCCAAGTCTTCCTGGGTAGCTGAGCTGCTTACCAGGTGGTGATGTTGCAGATGAACAGCACCACCAACAGTTTGAAAGAAAGCAGCTGAGACTGCATTTCATGAGGACCGCTACCTTTCTGCATGGAGGATGAGCTGAGTCAGGCTGTTAGATCTCAGGAGGTAAGGTACCCAACTGCTCAAGCTAAAGCATCTTTGGAAATGTGCAGAAGCAGAACTCTACACTCCTCAGAAAAATGAAGGTTAAAAGGAGGATAACAAGTGGCCAGTTCAGGGACTTCAAGGGCTGTGCAGTTACCAACCACAGGATTATTTTTTTTTTAGTACCAGTTTAGATAATAGGAGATTAAAATGTGCATAGCTCTTTTTAGATCTGCTCGGAAGGCTCTCCAGGCAAATACATTGTCACGTTCTCCCAGAAGGAAAGGAGACGAAAGCAGACTCCACATCTGAGATGTTTCCATTAAGAAAGCAAGAAAACAAAGGAGTCTCCCCTTCCTAGGGAAAGGGTTGGGAGTAGGTGTGGTATGGTAGTCTCTGAGAGTGTGGTCCATCTTCCAGTCTCTTTTACATTATGTTCTGTTCTCCTCAGAGGCTTTTGCCACTTTTCACTGTATCTAGTACTTGAAATTTTTTTTTGTCATCTTCCGACTTCTGATGAAGTTAAAGAGCTGAAGTGTGGCTAGAGGCCGATGCTGGTGTGCAGCTCCTAGAATTGAGCTTTGTTTTCATGCTCCTAGAACTGACACTGAAGTAGGAAGATCAGAGAGGGGAAGTGAATGTAAATGGGGGAGGTGGACACAAGTTTTGCTTCGTTTGAAGTTGCAATTCTGCTTTTCTTCTCGTCTCTACAGCAGAAAGCATCTTAATGATTCTTATCTACAAAATCAGCATATCTCTGCTGAAGTATTATGCTTTGATAGTCATACAACAACTTCCATAACTGCTGTGGCTTTTCATTTTGGTTTAACATTTAAACACCTACTGAAAGGGGAAAGTGAGAGTAATAAACGCACCAGCTAAGGTGTTACAGATTTCACTGTGGCTGCAAAATTGCATAAAAGCAGAACTTTAGATGTTTTCAGAGTGGGATTTCAAATTCTAAAACACCGCAGTGATTGAGAGCACAGAGGAACATTGCTGATCTGGCCAAATCTGAGGTGTATTGCATATACATGGTATTGAATCAGACAAACAGCAATATGTGTGGTATAAAGATAAAACAATGGACCACTCATGTTTCAAAGATGAGATGTGATTTGCTATCTTCAGCAAAATGTTTCCTTTTACTAAACATCTTCTTGATGGCTCCATGGTATGAGGCATTCTGAATAGCAAGTAGAATATTACCCCTGTTTTTTAGAAAACAGATGAAGAGAGTTATGGGGGAACAGGGGACAGAACTGAGGATTGAACCTAATGCTACTAAGACTCAGTTGAGGCTTGTTACAAGAACAGGCTGCTTAGGTTTTTGAAAACTGCTGTTTGTATGTTGTTTCAAGAAAAGCACGGCTTTTTGTGGTGCCTGTCTGTTACTTGTGCTGTTCTTGGTTTTGGGTAACATGGGTTTCATTGATGTTAAAATTCATCTGCAGTTTTGAAGAATGCACGCTGCCAAACTCTCGCACACAGTACCTTTGGCCCAGTACTGATGTGAAAGATGCTTAATCCACTAGTTCCTGCATACCTTGTTAGAAGTGAGCCTTGATTATAAAGCTTTGTAGTCTTGCAACCTTCCCTCTTAGTGGTCAAATGGGACGGGTGGAGGTTTTAATTTACCTTATCACAAACGGGAATTCAGAGCTTAGCTTTCCTCACTGTTAGTGTGATACTAGTCCCCTATGTAGAACTGCCTCTTTTGTCAACTTTTGACCCCAAGTAATTAAATCCGTTCATAACTCCATTGTTCTATGTGATGCATTCTTAGCAGTCATTGTTCCATTATACTTAAAGAAATACTCCAGGTGCAATAAGTAGGAAAGGTTGTAAATGTCCTGTCACCACTACTTCAATAAATAGCGTAGGGATCTTAAACACCATCATTCCTATCCACCTTTATCAGATGTATTGGGCAGAGGAAGTAATTTCATTGTGGCAGCTAAACTGTGTGTTCATATTACATATTCTCATATTTACATGATGTATATCTCAGACATCTGAATATACTGTAGGTAGAACAACCCCCAAATATATATAATGCAGAGTGTTGTAATTGTGCAAACTACCTGCAAAACACAGTATTACAAAACCAAGACAATATCAAAGCAATGGCTCTTTCTCATTTTAGGAAGTCCAACGTGTCATGGGAAGAGCACCACCAAGACCAGAAAAAGGTAGGTACTAGTTTATGAATAAGAAATATTTTAGTTCTACTAAACTTGTCTTTCTGAGGTAATGCAATTCTTTTATCTCTAGCTGCAATGGAGGCATTAGGAATGGATCTGTACAGGAGAAACAAACCTGAGAAGCAGCCTTTTGCCCATCTCATTATTGACGATAAGAATATTCCATCTGGTAAGTTCAGTTTTAAGTGAATACTTCCAATAAATGATTAAACAGTGAAGTATATGAAAATAGTTCAGCAATATCAGCAACGGACTGAATTTCAGAAATGTCTTTTGATAATGAGAATAAATTGGATGCATTGAAGGATTTCAGAGGCAACAGGGCTAACATTAACAGGAGGATAGCTCCCCTTTGCCTCAGGTATCTTACATTAGTCTGTTACATGCTAAATGGCCTCCATTTCAAATGACTAGTTTTCATGACTAAGGTCTGAGGGTTTGGTCTGCCTCTTTACGCTGTCTTCAGGTGAGGAATGAAGATATGCATTGAATGCTCTTCTCTGAATTTTATTGTCTTAGGCTAATAGGGCCCATCGGGAGTTCTTCAGACACTGGACATCGGCTATTGGTATACGTACGCACAGTTGTATGCATACGTACACATACATACAAGGATATCCCAGCCTAAAGATTAGCCAGAATCCAGATCTTGCACGTTGGAATGTCTCCCTTCCATTGAGTCTAAGATTTTTATGTCCTGTTCTCAGATGAAATGTGTTGTTAAATTCACGAATGTCTTATGTCCACCTATTCAGCCCTGTGCGGCAACACTCCTTTAGTCTGCTGAAGTGTAATCATGTCTGTACTGCATAAGACAGCATTTGTCTTCAGGGTGGATGTAGAAGCTGAGAATCTTATATGAATACACAATACACATGCGTGTCAGGTGCCCATCAGTGTCAGAACTTGCCATAAAGGAAGCACATCTTTCATTTTGAGGTGTTGAAAACCTAGAATTGCAGTCCCAATGTCATTATTATAACTTGCCTGCTAGTTCCCTGCCCTCTGTGGGTACATTGCACTCTTGTAGCATAAGGTTGAATTTACAGCAAGTGTTGCCTTCTGTTAAGGGCATGTTGAAAAGGTTTTGTCATATTCCATTCCTTATTATGTTATAGAGCTGGTATACACTTTTTGACATCAAGACTCCTGGGGTCTTTGTGACATTCAGACATGCGAAAGCTTCACAGAGGTCTGTCTGCATCCATCCAGTCTAGTAGCAGGAGGATCAAAGATCATAGCATCGTACTCTGACCAACAGGGTTTCCAGTCAGTGTGTTGACTTGGATGCAGTATGTTTCTGAGCTATTGAGCAGGGGAAAAAATAAAATGTTCCGGTGGCTTTTATCTGCTCCTGTGGTAAGAGGACGGAATTCTTTAATCTTGCCAGAGCTCTTACTGTCTACCCACAGGTATCTTTGGATGGCTTTGGGAATATCCTTGCTAGTACAGTATGAGGGAACGAGACATGAGTCTGTCTTGGAACACTCTCCAGAGGAAAAGATTCATTCCTACAATTTTAAAATATCTTAGTACTGTTTCCTTTTTTGCCCTGAGGCACTGTCTGTTGAGATTTTTCTCTATTCTCAACACAGCAATCATCATTGGTGTGGTAGATGTAAACCAGAGTTTATTCTGAAGCTGTCCGACAGAGGATCTCAAGATAGGAGAGGGCATTGATCACTTCTGTCGTCTTCCTCTGAAAATGTATACATTCTGCAGTGCTGAGCTCCTTGATAATTAAGCTGTGTGCATTACTTTTCTGTTTTACATAACCAAACCAAAGGGGAATGCTGTGTTGAGGCTTGAAATCTGAGATTTCAGCAGCCTGCATAGTAATACCTTGCTCTTGCTCTATTTAAAGACAAAGCACTTCTGTACACAAGGAGTTAGCTTCTTGCCTGGAGGGATAGGATACTGTTTCCCTTCAAGTGCATTGGCATTGCCAAGGTCCAGAGCTTTATAGGCAGAGCGCTTAAGCAGCTTGTCAGATAGCAGTCAAAACTTCTACAAGCTTTCTTATTAGCTCAAATGCCTCCTGACAAGCTTCTATTTCAGTCAGATTTTGGCTGTTGACATAGGTCAATAGTAGAAGATGCAGTACCAGTAAACTTGTATTAGCATTTTGTCTTTGGAAGGATTCAATTAATTTGCTAATCATAGAGACAGATCGCTTATATCTACAGAAGTGGAGTCTGTCAGTGTCACACTTTATGAAATCCACATTTTTCCTGTGGGGGATTTATCTGCTGTCTACCTGGATGTTGCTGTAAACTGTGTTTTTATCAGAACTAGAGCTGATAATTTTTACTGTTGTGCATCACTGCATTAACCTTCTAGGGAATGCAGTAGCACATCTGTGGGTAATGGCAAGGGAGGCGTTGCTCTTGCTTGCTCTCTTCACTTTTTTTTTTTTTAATAGCACAGGCTGCAGGAACTCTCAGAAATACAGTGCCTGTGACAAGAAGCTGCTTTGTTTCTCCTTGAAGCCAATCAGCCCCTTACCAGTGTGACGAGTTGGACATACTTCCTCCTGATCTGGCAGATATGGCTTCTGCCTCTGCTGGAAGAGCATTGCCAGGACGTTACTTGAGAGCACAGCTTCTGTGGTCCTTGTGGGCATTGCAGCAGTGAGGGGCTGCATCCTTATGGATAGCTGGAAAGCTGAACCTACTGGCTGTGAGGCACTTTATCCTGCTCACTGGTATGAGGCAGTACCTAGTTGGCTGGGTGGCACAGAGATTAATGACAGGCATAAAGGATGAAGAATTTGCCTGAGGGTCACCGGGAGTTTTTCTCTCCCATCCTGTTTCCTTTGACTGCAAATAGCAATTTCTATTTTCTTCCCCTGATTCCTTACCCTACATGTCTGAAATCCTTCTAAATTGTTTTATGCCATCCATGAGTCTGGACAGATCTTTTCTTAGTATTTTAAGGTTTTCTGCTGTCATCACTCTGACTCAAAATAAACAATGTCAGGAAAAAAAAAAGTCAATCTTCATCGCTGTCAAACAGGATTTTATTTTAAGTAGTTTGCCACTGAACACCCTTCATGAAGGGGCACTGGGCAGTATCTGTGAGGGAACATTTTCTGTTTTACCTGGTTCACAATAATATCAAGCTTCAAATGGGCTTTTGCAGCTGGAGTGTGAGGGAGGGGGGAAAATAAGCCTTCCCAGATCTTGGTGTCCCCACCCATCATTTGGCTGCAGAAGCTGTAGTGGTTTGGCTTGCTGTGTGTATTTTTTAGGTTTGCTGCCTTAGGTTAAAGCTGAATGCTTGCTGGTTGCTTTTTACCAGAGCTCACTATAAATGCTACCTAGGTTTTAAATGAAAACAGTGAATTTTGGTTTATAAATTGATTACAGAAATTAGTCACAGTTTAAAGGAGAAAATCGCAAACAGAAAGAAATGTAAAGGTTAAATATATCATTTGGGATGTGAATTGATACCTTTAGCTGTCTAAGGAAGGGCTGTATTATTTTGAGCTATATACAGCTACAGGTTCAGCTTAGCTGCCCTTTGCCTCCAAAACAGTTTTTCAGAGCAAACAGTGCTTTGTTCCTTCCCTCAGGCTTTATTTATACCTGAAAGCTACTAGAACACAAACAAATTATCAACACGGAGCTACTTTCTCCTCTGTTCCCTCCCATCATCTTCCTTCTAACTCATTAATTTTATTGAAACTCATGTCTATTTGTCTTAGTTCGTGCTCACAAATATCCAAGACATTGTTTTGATTTATCTTCAGTTACCAGCAGAACTGTGTATTATCTTCACTTTTTTGTTAATGCTTTTTACCGTGTCTGGAAGGTTATCTTGCTCGTTATCTCTCTGACCTCTGCCTTCTCTGCCAACCTGACTTACCTTGTGCTATTTTTTTTTCATGGCTTCATAGTAAATTTTGTCACAGAAGATACCATATTGCAGCATTTCTGACTCCTATGGCTTGGGTTATATTTCAGAGTTTCTGGTATACGGACAGCTGATTGGGCACTGGTATGCTCCAGTTTTCTCATCTGCCTGTGTTTTGAGGTGCTAACTGTTTTGGTGTCTCCGAATTTGGGTGTATTACCACCAGAAGTACTGAGAGTCTTCCATTAAAGGTTGCATAGCATAACTCCTACCAATGCATCTTTGTACTGTGCTGCCTTTTCTGAAGCTCTGGCAAAATGCTTATCTGCTTCAGTTAATACGATCATAGCATTATAATTTAGGTTGGAAGGGACTTCCAGAAGTTATCTAGGCTAATCCCCTGCTCAAAACAGATATGGTCATCTTCCATCATCTCTTGGCCTGTCCCTCCACCTGACCGTGCATGAATGATGCATATTCCCTTCAACGCTAAAGCAGTGTGACCAGACTTCACCCAGAGCTCCTCTCAGCGTCTCAGTTACAAACAGCTGTGGTACCTACTTTCTCTTTCCCCCCTTTGTCAGCAGAGAATCATGCATTTTCACTAAGAATTTTTTCAAAATTGCCACTTTATAAGACTGGCAACTAAGAAGTTTACTTGCCAGGTAATTAAAATCTGCCTAGCAACTACCCAGTGTGCTACCAGTCAGTCACAGCATGCCAGCCAAAGACTTAACACTGTGCACAAGAAGTTCTACAATTTCCTCAGCTATCCCCAGTGCTTCAGAGGCATACTCTGGTACCCCTACCTCAGCATCTCTTGTAGGTGAATAATTCCAGGCTAAAAGAGTTAACATCTTAGTGTTGCTTTCAATTAATTGATGGTTTTCAGAAGGTTTTTTTGAGGCACTGCACAGAAGACTGCTTCTCTGTATGATTTTGCTTGAATAATTCCTACCTGGCTGTACTGGAGCCATAGGGGAGCAACTATTTATGATCTGCCTTTGACAGCCTGTGCTTTGCTCAGGTCTTTGTGGAAGACTGCCAGAAGATTTTTGTTCTGGACTACTATTAAAGTATTCCTCCCACATGCAGAAGTTGCTTGCCCTTGGCAGTTAGGGAAGACTCATTGCTCTAATATTCCCCTGTCTCTACTTCCCCTCATGTCTTTCTGCACGAACAAATCCAGGAAGCATCTTTCTAACTAATCAAATATACCTGGGGCTTTTCCCCAGCACACTTGTGAGCACCGGTGGTTCTGGAGCATGCCTCGATACATACTTGGAGGAGAGGGCACTGTGCCCTGCCATATGCCATGGAAATTTTGGTGGTAATAGATTGTTTTGGTTTGATGTTGGGAGAATAAGGTACTGAATATTCCAAGCAGGCGTTTAGATGCACTGGCAGCCTGAGGTGTAAGGTCTTCTGGTGCCTGTGTGGACCCACTGCTGTGGGTGCCTCAAAGGGAGCAGACGGAGTTAATCTTGCACGCTGAAAATTGCTGGTGGTTAGGAGGACAAGTTGGCCAACTCTCGTCTTGTGTTGTGTTCTGCCCTGTGTATTACCCTGAATAAATGGTAGAGTATTAGTGGCTTGTACATATCAGGAAGGGTCAAGGCCTGTGTGGCTTTTTCAGGACAGTGCTGTTTCCTCTGTGTGGGCATGCTCGTGGGCCTTGGCTGGATCTTCTTCTCCCACTGTTGCCTATTCCTCTGTTTTTGCAGGCAGAGGCTGTGAGATGAGGTGGGTGCTATAATGGGATGGTGGTGAAGCCGGGGAGGTAGAAGGGACTATGGCATGTGTGCTGCAGGGCATGGTCCTCAACAGAAAATACTGTGATAAACCTCTACATACTACCTGTGCTGTAGTAGCAAAGCTATTTAGGCTGGTGTTGCAGGATGCTTCTTCACACTGTGCCACCAAAACCAAACTGAAGTGTCAAATGTGCCCAGGTTTGCAGGGGAGACTCAAATGCTCTCTCAGTCCCTATTTGACCTCCTGCCAGGCAATCTCTTAGCACAGTCTCAATAGTAGAATCATAGAATATCTTGAGATGGAAGGGACCTATAAGGATCATCGAGTCCAACTCCCTGCTCCTCGCAGGACTACCTAAATCTAGACCATATGACTAGGAGCATCATCCAGACACTCCTTGAATTCTGACAGGCTTGGTGCTGTGACCACTTCCCTGGGGAGCCTGTTCCAGTGACTGACCACCCTCTCAGTGAAGAACGTTTTCCTAATATCCAGGATCTGCATGAAATGACATCTGAGATTTGACCGGCTTGAAACCTCTCAGAGATGATAGTGTGGCAACTTGATGATAGCACCCAGGAGGTGCCTTTTGGGCCAAAGTTCCTGGGGGACATTTGTACCCAAGTGGTTAGCTTTCAGTGACAGTGCAGAGCTGAAAAACTAATTGAAACATTTCCGGTCTCTCAGCTCTTTTTGTTCTCTTCACAGAGCATTCAGTCACCTTAACAGATAAGGGACAGCTTCCTGTTTACCGGGCCACCATCATGCAGGCAGAGCTGCAAAGGCTTACCTGTTAGGAGGAGTTCAATAATGCTTCTTTACATATGTTAATTCTACTAATCTGTCTTTTTGGTAGTCAGACTTGGTAACTGTTATACATGTATTTTGATTCCAACATGCATGATGTTATATGGAGAGACAGAGAGACTATTATCATAATTTTCTTTCCTAATTTGTGGATCTCCAGCTTAAGACAACTTGAAGGGGACTGTTCTCCTATAAGCATGGAATGTTGGCTCATTGTTTTCAGTTTGAAACTTAAGATACATAAATAAAAACAAGAGAAGAAAAGAAAGGGGCGGGAGGGGGAAGAAGATTGCATCCAGAATAACATCTGTATTCCTAAAGCTCTTTTTCCAAGACCTTCCTCTAGATATTAGGCAAAGAATCTGAGTTTACCTTCTAAATAGCTATAATTGCCCAGCTATAAGTATTTGTACAATTATCAAAGAATTAGGATACATCCTAGATATCCAGGACATGACTAAACCAGATTGTGAAGCCGTATTCTGGTACAAGCACTGGGTTAAGTTTAAACATTGGTTTTGCATTAAAAGGTTTGTTATGTCATAAATAATTGAAGTGCTAGCTAAAGTCTAGGCAACTTACTGTGCAGTACTAAAGGTGCACAATTGTACTGACTTTTCCCCCATTTTTTTGTTGTTCTCAAATGAAAATCTGTTTACCTTTGTGTACCACTACAGTCACAACAACATAAAATATGGGAGGTCTTCATAAGCTTTCTCTTTAGAGAATTACCAGTTTAACTTATTTTCAGATTTTAAGTTATTCCTTGCAGAGACTGACAGGTTAAAGAATGGTAACAAGATTTGCTGTTTTTTCATTAGTATTTCTCATTTCAAATTCCTCTCAAGTATTTTTTTTTTTTCTGGAATAAAGTTTTAGGTAGAACACAATTTCTATACAGAGCTTGTCGCATGATTGTTAACATCATCAAACTACAGGCCAAGCAGGTGTTTTGTACCAGGGTCCAGCAGATGTTCTGGTAGGAGGGTGGTTATAAATAGCAAGCGAAATATGGCAGCACAGGATTAAAAAAGGAAATTTCTTATTAATTTTTATCATAATTGTCTAATATTCACTTTAGCATATATACATAGTTGCTAATGATTCTAAAAACCCAGAGATTGCTTTCTAAATGTTGGGGTTTGATAAATGTTTATAAATAATCTTTTTTTTCTCCCCACCTCCAGGAACTCGCAAAGTGAACCTCACATCCTGGCATCACGACAAAGGCCAGGCAAACTTATCAAATATGACATTCAATGATGGAAAACTAATTGTTAATCAAGATGGATTTTACTACCTTTATGCCAACATTTGTTTTAGACATCATGAAACTTCAGGAAACCTGACTAAAAGAGGGCTTCAGCTGATGGTATACATGATTAAGACAAACCTTAAAATAAGGCGCTCTGATGTGTTGATGAAGGGAGGAAGCACCAAATACTGGTCAGGGAATTCAGAATTTCATTTTTATTCTGTCAATGTGGGAGGGTTTTTTAAATTAAAATCTGGTGAAATGATAAGTATCCAGGTATCAAACCCATTGCTACTGGATTCATCACAAGAAGCAACTTATTTTGGGGCATTTAAAGTAAGGGATTTAGACTGAATCTTTCTTTAATGTGCTGAAAATCGTTTGGGTTTTTAGCGGTCCAGAAACAACTTGAAGGCAGAACTGAAAATATTTTGCGACCCAATTACATCTGTATAAGCCATATATCCCTAAAGACCCATTTGTTGCCCCATGCTGATTCCAGTGGGAGACCCACAAATGTGCAGAAGGGCAAAATTACGTAGTTCTCCTGATTCAGTCTTACAGCAGTTTTACTTCATATGTCTCCACTGGCTTCAGTAGAGTCATTATGACTTTTACATTGGTGTAGTTGAAATCAGAGCAATTAATATTATTGAACGTCTGTTTCCAAGTTCTGCCCTGACTTTTTAACCTGTGCTACTCTTACTAGTTTTGGCGCAAACATAGGGCAGGACAGAACTTGGCTCCCAACTTGCACGTAAGGCTCATTTTTGCTTGGGGTTGAGCATTCTGATCCTGAGATGGCAAAGATTGTGAAAGTGCGACTAATCCCATTGCATTTGATGTGGCTTTTCACATGTTTAGTTAAGCCTGTTCTTGCTTTGCTGGATTGGGGTTAGAGGGCTCAGGCCGTGGCAGAAATGAGTTGCAAAACACCTAACCAGTTCAACTTAAGTTTTTACCTGATTAAAAGGGCTATTCGGAAAAGAAAGGAGACCATCTGGCCTTGCAGTTCCAAAAGGTTAATTACAGGTCATTTTTATTATTGTTGCACAGTTCATTGCAAATATAGACTGCCAAAATACGGTGTGCCTTTAAAGTATTACGTTGTGCCAGAACCTGCAAAGACTTTTTTTTTAGACAAAAAGTATGTATTTTTATATTCTGTAATATCTAAAGTTATATTTCAGGTGTAATGTTTTGTGTTTAAAAAAATATGTAAATTATATTGTCCTATAGTATTTGATACAAAATATTTAAAATCTCTTGCTGTTTGTATATTTAATGTTTTAAACTGTTTTTAATGTACAGACATGTTAAACTGGTGCACTTTTTAATCCCAATGGGAAAAATTGCAGCTAAAAGAGGTTGTTTGCAATTAGCAAATGTAATATATATCTTTGTTCTTTTTAACTTAATAGATTTCTGTTAAACTTGTCAGTATTATTGGGAAGGGGGAGGAATCACACCAATGTCATGAATAATTACACCAGAATGCTGGTCACTGGGTGCCTTTCAAACCTGGAGGGTAATTGACATTACAAAGCTGGCGTTAACTAAAAGTAAATAAAAAATCAATACCTAATAAGCCACAGAAATGCATTAGGGGTATTTATAGTTACTGAACAGGCATATTTTCCTACAACAAAACCTGCAAGTTGTAAATTCCGCAATCGAGTAATGACTCTTTTAGCTTAGTTTCCTGAAAAAGTGAAGCTTATGTCATTGCATTGCCTGTCCTTGTCTCCCCTTCCAGCTTTTAAAACTCTGCCCACTTCTGCCAGATTTGGCAGACGAATGGCAGCGTTAAGAGAGATTCTTACAGGTTTTATGAGAACAGACAGCTGAGAACAACTCAGCCATTCTGTGTTATTTGTCAGTGGCTGGCCACTGTTCGTATTAGCCAACAAATTACTACGGGGAGACTCCTAGCTAGCTGCAACACGTGTTGTCGCTTGTATAGTTGCTTGGCCAAAAAGAGGTAGGTGGATGGAATCTGAGGGTGGGTGTGGGGGACACAGAAAGGAGCTGCAGGTGACGTTTAGAGCACATCTGGGCAGGCAACAGCAACTTGTTGAGGAAGGGATGAGGGAGGTTTTGTGAGTGTTTGTCTGGGTGCTCTAAGGATGATGTGGGGTAAAATCTGCTCTTTAATGCGGTAGGAATCACAGAAGGCGAAAGTCTCAAATCTGTAGGAATTGAGGCTTCATACAAATCCTCAGGCTTTTTTTTTTTTTTTTTTTTTAGATAAGGAACTGAGTTGAATTCAAGCCATTATTTTATACTGTATAATAAACATTTCTTTTTAATGTTAATATTGTTTTCTTACAAAATATATTTCTAAGAAAAAAAAATCAACTTTGTGATTTCTTTATTTTCCTGTGTCGCTGTATTTCTTTTGTGCAGCTTCAGTCATTTTTTTTCAGATTTCAGAACATGCAGGCTGGGTATGGTGTAACTCACTCAAGAAAACTGAGGCACAAATTGACTATATGGAGACAATTGCAATGAATTTTATGGAGTTTTGATTTGGCTCCAAACACGCATCCACCACTTTCAAGTAGGGTTACATCATCAAGGGTTGAATATTTAGCTGGAAATGAGGACTTCCTATTTATGTTTTGCACCAAAGAGTTGTCAGGTCAAAACCATAAATGACTGAAGAATCTGGGTCATTTCTTTCAAAATTTCTAGAGCTACAGGTCACACCAAAGAAAAATATTTTTTTCTGCTATAGAGATGTGCCTTGGCAGCCTGGGAGAAAAATGTCTATTGTATATGTCTGTTCTGGGGGTGAAGTCGCCCTCTGGAGAGGCAGAGATGGGGGTTTGAATGATTTGAAAATTGAGTTAGGCTTAGCGCAAAGTAGTTGACCTTAGCAAATTTTCTGCCTACGTGTGGTCTTACATAAAGGAGGGGAACGAACCACCAGGGCTAAATGTCATCTGAATGACAGTGGCTGTGAGCTATGAGTGTGTGCTAGATAAGGTCACAGCACCTGCAGCTTGCCTGTGAAGACAGATGCCTGCTGGTTGCCTCCTGCATTCCAAGCCACCAGGGGTTAGAAGAGCGCTTCAGCTCTGGAGCCTCCAACATAGGAAAGACATGGACCTGTTGGAGCAGGTCCAGAGGAGGGCCACAAAGATGACCCGAGGGCTGGAGCACCTGTCCTATGAGGAAATGCTGAGAGTTGGGGCTGTTCAGCCTGGAGAAGAGAAGGCTCCAGGGAAACCTTACAGCAGCCTTCCAGTACCTGAAGAGAGCCTACAGGAGAGCTAGGGTGGGACTTTTTACAAGGGCATGTAGTGATAGGATGAGGGCGAATGGCTTCAAACTGGAAGAGGGGAGATTTAGATTAGATATTTTTCACTTTGAGGGTGGTGAGGCACTGGAACAAGTTGCCCAGAGGAGTTGTGGATGCCCCATCCATGGAGGTGTTTATAGCCAGGCTGGATGGGTCTTTGAGCAACCTGGTCTGGTGGGAGGTGTCCCTTCCTATGGCAGGTGAGTTGGAACTCGATGATCTTCAAGGTCCCGTCCAACCTAAACCATTCTAAGATTCTTTGATTCTGTGATTCTGAGGCTCAGCTTAGTAGTTATATCTGTGCTCATTAGGAGTGCTGTAGGCACCTGAATTTCACAATGCAGTATGGGGCTTTAAATTTCCCTTGTGTGATGACTTCGGGGCCTAAATGATTTTGGGGTTGTGGTTTTTTTTGACTTAGCATCCTCCTTGGGATGCAAATTGTCCAGCTATGTGATGAACTAGGTGGGAGGGTTTTGATAAAATAGTCCTCACGGGGCTCTATAGGCTATCCTGAGGGTTATAATTCTTCATTCTCTCTACGAAATAGAAAGCAAACAGGAGGTCCTATTCTGCCTGTCTTGCCCTGGCCCTCGCCCCTTCTTACCCTTATGTACATTCAAAAGGAAGCAAGAAACTCCGTGTAGAGCTGCGATTACGGTTTGATTTTGCTCTTTATATCAGAGCAGCCACAGATTGAAAAGCTTCAGTAGAGTCCTTTGAGGCAGCCCGGGCACGTATGCCAAGATGACAGAGTAAAACCACCTGCTCCAGCACCTATCCTTCCTAAATCCAAGTCTTTCCCCAGAAACATCCATTCTTTTCTGTCTGCTTCATTTATTTGATTGCTTCGTCGGGACACAATTAATAAAAGGAGTAGACTAATCCATTAATGAAGAGAGTTACCTTGAGAAGAAGGTAATGCTTTCTTGGCTAAGAAAGGTACTTGTGACTCCTTATTTTATAATCTTCAAAAAATAATTTGGGTCTGTGGGTAGAGGATGATTATTTGCTGAAATCTGAAGTTAAAAAAAAATCTTATTTGTAAGTTGTTTGTGTGGAATTCAGTGTATTTTCGTGCGTGTAAACATCTGTATATTCTGACTGTGTTCTTGCCAAAAATGTAAATTTTCATACATGGGGTTACGAATTGCATATTTTGGCACCTGGGTACTCGCCCCCCCCTCCCTCCCTGCCCTCCCCTCCCGCCTTCCCAAGCCCTTTCCAGCCAGTGAATGTTTCTTTTTCTGTCTATCCCACTTCCTCTTCTCTGGCTCCTTCCAGCTGCCAGTGTCTTCTGCTCACCCCACTCTCACCCACTTAACAGCTCTTTTTCCCGGTGGTAGCAACAGCCCTGGGGCAGATCTAGGTACGCTTCCCCTTATTTGGCCCATATTCAGGTGGCTTTGCCCAGTCTGTGGATGGAAAACAATAATAACTATGTTTGTCAAAAAGATTTTTTAAAGCGTTGGTGCAAGAGCGGAGCTGGATAGGAACAAAGAAAAGGAGCTGGGGAAGGAGGAACCAGGAGATTGGACACACGAAGCAGTCCGAACCCCCCTTTGGTTTGAGGGATCCAGACAGTTATTGCATGCTTATACTTTTTTGCTGTTAGAAAATTAATTTCCAGCACTGCCGTGATTTGAGAAAACTCGGATCTAAAGCAGTAAGTGTTCTTACACATATACACAGGCAATTTCTTGTTCTTTCTCCCTCTCCTTACTGGTCTCTTGTCCAGTATTTCCTGGTTGCTGGTATTTGGGATCACAACCCGGGCACTTTGCCAACTGTTGTGTTTTTGCGTGGTTTTGGTTTTGTTGTTTTTTTTTTAACTCACTGGGGTCTGACCCTGTAGATCCCACACCTTTGCCTTATGTTACCGTTTGTGACGAGCTCCAAAGCAAAGCTCGGTCGTGAAAAGCTGAGAAACCTCTGTCAGCTTGAGCTTGTTTAAATCAGATTTCACAAATTTCCTGGCAACTTTGGCTGTTACATTTTTCAGCTTTTTTTTTTAGCCTTAAGTCTGAATGTGCCGGGGTTTCGAGCGGTG